ACGTGGGGCCGAGCCTAACCCAGACCGCTTTCGTGGTCTAGTGGTAGAGCGTTCATCCGGGGAGCGGAAGGTCCGGGATTCAATGCCCGGCCGCGTCATACCAAAAGACGTTAAAAGATGGTACTTGTTGTTACCCTGTCTGGCGCTCGGCATTAAAGGGCTAAAACAAGGACTGGTCGGCTCGGAGTCAGTATTCTGTGTCTGAGTGGGGTATCCATGTTAAACTGCGGCATGGTATCTCAGTGTGCTAGCACTATAAATCGGCATCAGTCCGGACTAGTTCAAGCCATACACGCCACACACACACACACACACACACACACACAAACACACACACACACACACACACACACACACACACACACACACACACGTGCATGCACGTCGCTATATAAGTGCAATAATCTTGAACGCGACGTTAAACCCCGTGTCACCTCAACACACCTTCACGATACACGAGAGAATAACACTTCTATTCTACTTAAACTTGATACAGCAGCAAAGGATACCGCAATACAACAGTATTTCAGTTCCATCACGGCACAAGGCAGCTTGGGGAGGAGGAAAGCCCCGTGTGAACCGTTAGACGTTTACCACTTCGATGAAACCCTTGAGCACGGGTATGGCGCTGACAAACCATGAAATATGATCAGGGCGGTCCGGGATTCGAACACGCGATCACAGGATCCTGACAAGACAAGGCATACAACTCTGCACAGCGAATTGCGGACCCTTACACCGCCCATACTCCATGAGACAAAAGGGAAGGAATTAAACTTCAAAATGAACATCATATAGAAGCAGGAATTGTTCTGTGATCAAATTTCAAATCAACAGGTAAAAAAACATTATCAAATTCAGTGATCGATTTCTTGTGTAATTTAATATACCAGCAGGCTTGAATATATTTATCATTTTACGACCAACAGATGTTCGAAACAAACTAAACCTTTGTCTCAGTTTTTCAGTATTGTTAACTGTATAATGTTTAAACTTTACTGTCGGTGTGATATTATTGAACTAAAATCTCCATATTTACCTCAATGACATATTACAAGCGGAAAATATGCTTCTCTTTACCAAATACAACGTGGTTTTCAAAAAGCATTTACTTTTTTAAAAGAAAAGATTTATATCAGCTGGTACTGTCTCCTTTACATCAAACGATAAAATATTCTTTATGCATATAGAACATTCCAACAAAACCCATATCGGTGTTCAAAAGCAACGGAGCCTACTTTGTTTGCATTTCGGAATTACAACGAATGCCGATTAACATTAATTTGCATTTTGTATTTCGTTTTTCAGTGAGCGAGTTTATAGCTGTGTAGCAGAACGGTCATGGAGTTCCATGTCGCGGGATGAGTGATGGTTAACAGAGGTAAACCCATGACCCTTACATTGAAGCACTCGTGAGTGAGAATGGTTTTACGCCGCTTTTAGCAATATTCCAGCAATATCACGGCGGGGGACACCAGTAATAGGCTTCACACAATGTACCCATGTCGGGAATCGAACCCGGGTTTTCCGCGTGACGAGCAAACGCTTGAACCACTAGGCTACCCGACCGCCCACATCGAAGCGCTATATTCATTACTTGGGTCGAAGTTACTCTATGTTTATTCCCCACATGCATGGTACAATCTGCAAAACTCATCCCTGTTGTCCTCTATATTGCAAAGCGGGGTTAAACCATACTCGCTCGCTAACCCATTTCTCCACTATCCTTTTAAAGACAAAACAATAAACACATCATCATGTTATTATATTAAGTTATTTTTGCTTCAACGTGAAAGATTTAATAAAATTAGCATATGCTGTCAATAATCTCAAATGTGTCAATAAAAATTTCTAAAATGGCCCTTCGAGAAAATAATATTAGACAATATAACCCATAAAAATTAAGTCTTTAGTATACTTAAACTGATATTTGTGTTTGTTTTTTGCACAACTTTACGCTCAGTTATTGTCCAGTTATTTGACCGCGGCCTTTGATTAATCGAGTCTGGACCAGACAAACCTGGGTTTTTTACAAACAAATCTTAAATGGACATTGGGGTAATTCCACTTAAAAAACAGCCAAGAAAACTATCATAAAAAGTTAACGTGTATACTTACTAGTAACTTCTTTGAGGGGCATTTAGTAGTTTGAATACGAAGTAAGAATACGATTTATGGAAGAACATGGATTTATGGATTGTAATAAAGAAGTTGTTCATCCATAAATCTTATCCTAACTTACTACGAGTAGCCGTGACATACCGCAACGAGTCCTGTATTCGATCACGCGATGACATATCGTGCATAGATTTGCATAAGTAAACAGTCGACAGGGGGTGTGGATGACGAGATTTATCGATATCGCGATAATATGGAGCCAGCGATAATATAGAGTCATACTATACATATATATCATTAACGTTAACGTACCTGTTAACGTCTTCACTTGTAGCGTTATAGACACTGTCTGGGCAGAAACTGATACGCGCACATTTCTCTTGGTGACGTGTTCAGATTGGTGACCCTTCTCTCCTGGTACAAACCAGGAACGGTGCAGTTTAAACACTGAGGCTTTTTTCACTGCACAACATGCCAGTTACCCCTCAACCGTTTCCGAACATAGCTAGGATCATTAATAGCATAGGCGCTTCGGTCGGCTATTCTCGCGGCTCGGGTTGTCTACACCGACGTCCGCGCCTTTTGGATTGTACTAAAATGGTTGCATGCTGCTTCCGAGATACAGTTGAAAGGCTGGTGTGCTCTGACTGCCATGTGTGTCCCATACGTGCAAGAACACGACCATCACGTGACGCTCACTTACGGAGTTCTATCTACAATCACAAATGAAGTGGCTGTCACGTCGATATTTAGCTTTGGCGCTGGGAACAGACTGATTAATGGGATCCACACCGAGTCACCATGCCTGAACACATGATCCAAATTGTCGTCCGTTTCGACAAGAATAAATTAATGGGAAATTGACTGTTTCATAGGCGATAACGAGTTTTGACGTGTTTGCTGATTAACGTTGCACACAGCAATATTTCAGCTATATATGACGGCGTTCTGTAAATCATCGACAAGGCACACTGGCGATTGCATTCGTCACCACTCGGCCCTTTCCGTAACCGAAACAACACGAGTTGGTCACGAAATGTGTCATTGATGTCATCCCCTGCCGTCGGGATACACTGACATTCACCCGGGGTACACTGACATTCACTCACACACCTTGTCACCCAGCCTGAACACCCGATACAAATTGGTTGCCCCTTTCGACAAGCATATGCTACTGGGTGGTTCTACACCCGAACCATCACATCCCTGTTGTTTCATTGTCTCAAGACATTACGTGCAAGGGCAAATGAGATATACTTTAATAGTGTTTTGAGTGGTGAAATATCCGGATATGCTTGGTCATGTACGATTTTTGTTTTACTAATCCCAAATTCGTCTGATTATGACCTTGGATTGTCAACATTTATGTATTGTTGGTTATGTTAGATTATTTGTTGTTTAACGCAGCACTCAGCAATATTACAGCTATATGACGGCGGTCTGTAAATAATCGAGTCCATTGTTTGGATTTGTGATTCGTGTGTATAGGGTGATAAAAATGGTAGGGTGTGTGTGGGTGTGTGTGCGTTCCAGGTATTCAGAGGAAAAGGGGTTTCCCACCGTCGGGCTCTCGACTATCAATGTTTACCGTGATATGTTTAAAGAAGCCATGAAGATCCGGGGTAGAATAGGTCTTCAGCAACCCACGATAGCCGTAAAAGGCGACTATGCTTGTCGTAAGAGGCGACTAACGGGATTTGGTGGTCAGACTCGCAGACTTGGTTCATTGCATGGCATCGTATCCCAATGGCGTATAGATCGATGCTCATGATGTCAATCACGGGATTAACTGGTTATAGCTAGAATATTGCTGAGTGTGGCGTTAGACAACAAACAAACAAACACAAACAAACAACATCGGGGATCGGCGACACACAATCAGCAAGTCACTGAGCACATTCATCTGATCCAATTTAGTTGCTTCTTACGACCGACCGACAAATGCTTTTCGGTAATCAATTGAACAAATGTTAAAAAAAAATCATTTTTTTCTACAAATTCTATAAAAACGTAAAGTGATTATTGCTGCTTATTGTTTCCTTTCAGCAATGCGCGTGATGGAAAATTTGGGATTTCTGTTTTGCGATTGTTATCAATAATAACTAAAGTATGTCAGACACACTTGACCTAGACTCGTGTTTTTAATCTCTTAGTATTTACATGAGAACGATAACCAATGTGAAACTATACCAGGTGGGCGTATTGGGTGAGATAGAGAAATCACAATACTGATACCGTGCCAGGGGCATGCTGAGATAGTGAAAGCTGTAAAAACTTGGCCTGACAATGCCATATATCACGTGCATGCATGTATTGTGTTTCTTGGTGCTTTCATAAATAGAGGTTATCACGCGAGTGTGTTTTGGGATGGTAAATATCCTGCATTAGGAATAAACATTGTATTTAGCGAGCCTTGGCGAGCTAAATACATAGTGTTTATTCCTAATACAGGATATTTACCATCCCCAAACACACAAGCGTGATAACCTCTTTATCATATAATGCCATTCTTTAATTCTGTGCTTCAAAATCGCTTTCCCTCTCTCACATACATAACCGAAACTTTGCGAGTTTTTCTGGAATGCGCGCATTAATATTTATTACGTCACAGGGTAAGTGATGTGTCAGTCGGAAAGTGACAGTAGCCAATATAGTTCCAACTGAAATCTGTTTCTTATACAGTGGCGAAGCAACATATACGCAAAACAACAATTGTTTTTAATTGCCTTTCGCGGCAATCAATCTGTCTGTCCGCTAGAGTAACTGCCCTTTGTCAAAGGGAAGCTACTCTAACCTTAGTCTATGAGACGTCACGGCCACGGTCAGTCGTTGTTGACAGTCGGTCTGTCCTGTCATAACGTTAAGAAGTGTAGTCAGATGTACACACAGCGACAAAACGAAACAAGGTAACAATTCAAACACATTTCGGACAAATCCAACTATTTTAATTTGGGGAGAAGGTTTCAAGCCGCAGAGGTCTACAAGCACTGATATGGCTACTGATCCCGCTTGGCTAGGCCTCGTGCCCTCGCAAAATTGTTTCGAAATTTATATCTCTAAAGTTGCCCAAACTCATAAAATGCCTTAGCTACGTCACAGTTAGAGACTGATTTCAGTTTATTAGACTGTTCTTTTGATAATGATAGCAATTATCCCTGTAGTTTATCCAGATTCCCGATGGTTAATTCTGACTCGATCGCCGAATAATGAGGGCGACGCCATGTTTGTTTATAAACAGTGAAAGTAGTCCCTACTTGACCTTTGATATTTGCATCTCTATCCGCATATGACCCCAACGGATATCGTTTTTATCCGTTGGCTTTATCCTGCCGAGAAACCTACCCATTATATGATAAATAGAGAATCTCAGCCTCGTGTCTTTTGATATCAAATATATCAACACGAGTTGCTAAACGTGGAAAATTCCGAGGCTTGCCGAGGATTTTTGCCACTTTTATCAACGAGTGTTGATATATTTGATATCAAAAGACACGAGGGTGAGATTTTATTTATCATCCAACATCATTCTTCCAACTTTTTCAATTTGTAGACAGCACTTAGCAGTTTTTTCAGTGTAAAACGTACTGCTAACAGCTTCAGTAGCCGAGCCATTACTGATGTCATTTGATTATGACGTCATGGTAACCGGTGACGTCACAATGGTCTGCAGACCATTGTGATGTAATTTCATTGCAGCGATATTTACAGTATCCAATCCAATCCAAGCGATATCTCCTGTGGGAGCCAGTTTTGGATGATAATTACAATTCTCATAAAGTAATTCGTATTGTAAATAAGCCAACAATCGTTATTTCTTTTGATACCCAGCGTATGTAAATACTCTCCAAACACAACTGATAAGTTGGAATCACTGGAAGAATGGCTGACGCTAACAAACAATGACTGACCACAATTATTTTCTTGGTTTGTTGTTTAACGCCACACTCAGCAATATTACAGCCACGTGACGGCGGTCTGGGGGGGGGGGGGGGGGGCGGCACGGGGGGGCAGTCGTCTAAGGCGCCGCGATTCGCTGTGCAGAGTTGCGTCCCCTGGACACGCCAGAAACCTATGATTGTGGGTTCGAATCCCAGGTTTGCCCCGATTATGTTTCTAGGTTTGTCAGCACTATACCCGTGCTCGTGGGTTTCACCGAAGTGGTAAACGTCTTAGACCTGCATCACTTCGAGCTTTCCTCCCACATTAAGCTGACACGCCGTGATATAACTGGAATACTGTTAAAAGCTGCGTTAAACCCAACTCACTCACTCACTGTTGTTTAACGCCGCACTCAGCAATATTCCAGCAATATGACGGTGGTCTGTAAAAAAATCGAATCTGGACCAGACAATCCATTGATTGATGTCATGCACATCGATCCACGCAATTGGGATACGATGACATGCATCAACCAAGTCAATGAGCGCAACATTGTCTGCATCATGTAAGTGTTCATACTATTCAGCCTGTTATGAATGACAATGAATTTCGCTTAATAGAAGCCCATGGGATTATCGAACTATATCGGGTTAACCGGACTTCGACACAAGCGCGATCTTAGCGCTACGAGTCTCGTACGTCTGTTGTACATTTGTACAGAGCGATAGTTACTCTTGCCGTGTTAGCGCGGAGATCGCTTTTGGGAACGCGTGCGGCCATATATGCCACATCATGTTGCATAATGTTAGATTGTGTTAACCGATTATCGAGATAATATGAAGTTCAAGTTCAAGTTTTATTGTACAGTAAACTACGGTTATAACGAACTCAAAGGGACTACTAATTTTAGTTCGTTATAACCGTAGTTCGTTATAAGCATATATACAGCATAACTACAGCAAATAGTCGGGACCAAAAAAGTAAGTTCGTTATATCCGTCAGTTCGTTATAAGCGTGTTCGTTATAACCGTAGTTTACTGTTTAAGTTTGTTTCTACCTGGCTATTATGTTTCTTGTCGACACCATGAATAAGTCCTTACCTTTGGAAGCTTTTGTTCGTGTATTCCTTATGAGAACACTATAGTTACGCACAATATCCTCAATGACCGCATCCTAGGGTAGCCCAAGCCGCATCAGATGATGCAGATATGAACATCGAGTGTGTTGTTGGAGGTGATACTATGACCTCCCATCTGGCGACAGCGCGCTATCATGGCGACGTTGATAAGAAGTATACAATTATTGATCACATAGTCTTATTGACCAGCTTGTATTGTAATGTAATTCTGCTGATTCCGAAACCTGGTATATTAATGAAACATGTGTTAGCAATGTACATCAGAGAAGTTCTTAAAGGAAGACATTGACCGTTCCAAAGGCTGGAAGACGCAAACTAACACGTGACCTAATACCTAATATCTTTCTGTTATAACTGCCAGTTAAGAATTATGGGTAGAAAAATCCTATGAAGGTAAAATAGCACAATAATGTAAGCCTCAATTTTCGGATTAAATATGCTTGGAATGAGAACATGGTGGCAACCTTTATTGGGGTTCAAAGGGGTTAAACCGGTTTACCCCCAAATATGATGCAGCTTATGTACTTTGTTTCGTGACAGGATGTTGCCTTATGTCAGAAATATACCTCGGGGCCTCTAAAATATCGAATATGGGATACACAAACCAGTGGTTGATAGCAAAAGCATTTAACAGAGCCGTCGTAACACGGTGACGCACCATTAGTCGTTCTTGCATGCGATGGCACCCGTGAAGATCCCGGTTGGAAGAGGTCTTCAGCAACCCATGCTTGCCGTAAAAGGCGACTATGCTTGTCGTAAGAGGCGACAAACGGGATCGAGTGGTCTGGATCGCTGACTTGGTTGATGCATGTCATCGATCCCAATTGCATGGATCGATGCTCATGTCAATCACTGGACTGTCTGGTCCAGACCCAATTATTTAAAGACCGCCGTCATATAGCTGGAATATTGCTGAGTGCGACGTTAAACAAAGAAACAAACAAACAAAGAAAAATCTTACATGCGATTGAAAGAGTTCCGTATCCCCCCTCTAAAGGTTATACATGTATGCATTGCCGCTCAATCCTTTTAATGATATATATTTGTAGGCGAAAACAGACGGAAGTTTTACCCATGCGATAACTGGTATCAGAAATAACAATGTCAGCTTATAATGACTGATAATGAACGTGGACCGTTGTTCACAATATCAATCACTGGATGGTCCGACCCAGACTCGATTATTAACGGGACGCCGTCTCATAGCTGGAGTATTGCGTTAAACGACAAACAAACAAATAACGCTCACCTCTCTGGTTAGAAGTATGTAATCCCGATCACTTCAACTGAAATATGCCCAATGCCTCTCAGGGCACACAACAAACACCTTCAAACTGCGATTTTCGCGTGTTCACAACACAACATCCGAAAGCGCATCGCTTGTGTCATCTCGTCCCGTCTGTCGTTACAAGAAAATACTTATAATATATATAAAAATATGATATCATATTTACATTTATTTGTGTATTATTACGTTTGTATGAAATTTCAGTTAAGAAATAGCCCCCTGCCGACTGATACTAAACTATTTCAATTTTTACTTTTCCCCCTAAAACATTCAATGTTTGAACCTTGCTGTTTTCAATCTGGAAATGTCCTACTGACATAAGTTCTATTGTTATTTCAGCTTGCTGGGGACGAGGGCGTCGAACTCATATAATAGATTTGCTCATTCATTGTCTCCTATTCGGATAACTCGAGAAGCTCGTGTGAAATGACTGGGACAGTGCTGTAACATTTACGAGTGAGTGAGTGAGTGAGTTCTGTTTTACGCCGCTTTTAGCAATATTCAGCAATATCACGGCGGGGGACACCAGAAATGGGCTTCACACATTTGTACCCAGGTCGGGAATCGAACCCGGGTCTTCGGCGTGACGAGCTAACGCTTAAAGTAACATTTACGAAAGAAAGTGAGTGAGTGAGTTAAAATTTAACGTCGCATCGGCATTAATCGGCCTTCGCATCGGCAATAAAAAACCAGTTTGAACTGACCTGATAGAGGCCTGTTCCAAAAAGGGTTCTTAGCGTTACTGCTATCGTAAATCTACGTATTGTTACGAGTGGATTGGCAAGTTAAAATGCGTCTGAGGCGCTGCAATTTCCTGTGCAGAGTTGTGTCCCTTGGGCACGCCAGAAACCTATGATTGTGGGCTCGAATCCCGATTCGCCCCGATTATGTTTCAAGGTTAGTCAGCACCATACCCGTGCTCATGGGTTTCACCGAAGTGGTAAACGTCTGAGACTTGCATCACTTTGTGCTTTCCTCCAACATTAAGCTGACACACCGTGATATAACTAGAATACTGCTCAAAGCAACTTTAAACCCAACTCACTCACTATAAAATGCGAAGGTTTTCCCAGAATTCGGTTCGTACACACCTTAATTGTGACATCAGTAAATAACCACACCAAGATCAATGAATAATTCACCAATTGTATTGAAACACACACTATTATATACTTCAGTGTGAAAGACTGCGTTTTCTGAAATGGAGAAAGTGATATTTTCATTGCAGTTAACACTTTAACAGAACTATTGTCGTGCAAGAGTTACCTCCCCTCAAATTGTCTCCCTTTATCATGAGTGTCTGGCCCGTACACAAACTGTTGACGTCCTTTTCACTTTAGTTTCACATTGATAAGGCAAAATAATGACAGATGGTAATTTATGGAGTTCATATGGTTTCTTTGCCGTTTGTTATTCTCTCGAAAATGTTTCATTATAAACGGTAATTTTCCCATTTAACTCGTCAATCGAGATGGTTCGTCTCGCAAAGCCATTTTTGTAACTTGACCAGGAGTTTACTCTTTCGCTTCCACCAGCGATCACGTAGTTTTTGAGAGTATTTTTTGTTAAAGTTTATTCTGTATATAATCATATCTAAATGT